TTGTTGCCCCCCCCCCCCCCTCCTCACCCGCCCCCCATGCTTACCCGCCCCCCAATCTTAACCGCCCCCCATTCTTAACCGCCTCTCATTCTTAACCGCCGCTCCTTAACCACCCCTGGTCTTAACCGTCCCCCCTTCTTAACTGTCACCCCTTCTTAACCGTCCCCCCCACCGTCCCCAGTGGGCAGTTTACGGTTGCTAGTGCGAGGGATATGAATCTTTGGAACTTTGTTACTTGGAACTCAATGCGGGGAACGCGTTGCCCGATCTTGCACTTGTACTGCTGCCAGCCTATATGGCCTACTACTCTCCTCCCCCGCACTGCTTTATGAAGTCTTAACAGTGTGAGCTCTAGAGTTGGATTGCCTGAATCAGCGGCCGATTTAGCCACTTAACTAGCTGAGTGACCTTGGGTAAGTTCCTTAACCACTTTGACTGTTTCCCCTTGAGTAAATTGGGAATAATAAGTACTGTACTCAGAGGATTGTTGTGAAGACTAAATAATGCCTGTAAAGCACTTGGCTTATAGTAAGTGCTCAAGTGATAGCTATTAAAAGTAATATTATTCCAACCTTTAGATATTTCAACTTCTCAGGACAGCTATTGCTCTTAACGTCTGTACCACTCAGGGTTAGCAATTAATTGGTCTCTGACTCCTTCATGTGTATTTACATCTTGTTCTCTGATGAATTGAGAGGCCCTTGAAGAATAGGAACTATGTATCATATTTCTTTTGGTTCAACACTCCCCCCCCATATGCCTTGAGTGCTTATTGGTTTATTAAATGAGAGAGGAGTCTAGTTGATAATCACTCATTTTTAATTGTAAGAAATATCTTCCCTATGAGTTCATTGTCATTTTACTTCTAAAGCCAATTCATTTATTTAGGGGTTGTCATCTTTGTAGATTGTTCAGCTTCCTTCTAGCTGCTGTCTTTGACAGGTCTATTACTGTCATTTTAGAATGAGTGCTATTAGGGCTCAGAGGTGAAATTTTGTTAGGTTTCTGATCAGCAGTGGTTGGAGAAAAACTGAAGTTATGTAGGAGGTTGAAATGCCTAGTGAAATGGAATTTGGGGTTCACTTTAGGTATCTTTATATGATCCATGCTACATGTAATAGTTCCTGTATTTGAAGATTTGCTTAAAGAACTCAATATTACTAGGACTTATCAGTATGTAGTTATTGCATGCTTTGTGGAATATGGTTTGAATTATAGATCCAACTCAGCATAGTTAGTTTTATAATTGTATTCTGTCATACGAAGGAACTTCAGAAAACTCGTGGAAAAGTGAAATTAGAGCATGAGTTTATTTTGGAGCAAAAAATTTCTGAAATCCAAGTGTAGTTTTTTCATAATATGCTTTTTCCATGAACTTTGTTGAGACCCCTTTATACGAAGACAATTTTAAGTTGTGTGACCTAATTAAAACTGTCATTCAGTACTTTTCATTTGACTTCCTTTTCCTCTGTGAAAACATTGTTGATATCGTATACCCTAACTTAGGAGTTTTACTTTTTTTCTTTATTCTTGCCAAAGGTGGATGTTTGTATTTTCATTACATTAGGTAGAACAAATGGTGTCATAAATATATTACCAAAAATTCCTTTTCTTTATCAGAAAACAGACTCTCTTGAATATAAAATAGCAACTGGAAATGTTAAAAACAAAGGTAGTGTGTCACCTGATTATTAGTGAATCCATTTATAGGTTTGACTTTTACAGTATGACCAATATTAAAATTATATCTTGGGTGGATTTTTCCTTTTTAATGAGATAAATTAGCAGATCTACTTTAATTGGAATGAAAATATATCTTTTAAAAAGTATATGGTGCATTTCATGGGGCTCTTAGCTCATTTCTTGTCTGTTGCTTCTTACCAACCTAAGTCTAGAAGTTATAATCAACTTCAGTGTCATAGTGTTAAAGCAACATTTGAGCTATATGGGGCATTTACAGCTTTTAAAGGGGGCAAATTCTTAATTGTGTCCATGAAAAGCAATTGTCTATTCACTGAAAAGTCTTGGTTTCGAAGAATATTTTGTTCAATAACTATGGAGAAAACTAAAACTGTATTTTGCTGTACTAAATGGCCCATCACATATCTAGCTACCCTGTTAAAATTTCAGAGATATCTTTTAATGATCTTGGCTCTAAGGGGTATCAGAAGGGCCAAGGGCTACTAGAATATAGTTATTAAATATCCTTTATAATGACACTTAGACTTTTACAAGTTTCACATCTAAATGAGGGCTCAAGTTCTGCAATGCATGCAAGATATGATTTAATCTATTTAATTTTGAAATTAGAATTTTAGTTTCATGATGATTTCATGTTGGTATAAAGCTTGCCTTGATTAACCTAATAAACTTTCAGGTACTGGTGGGTCCAGTGGAGATTTCTGGTTTTAGTAGAAATCATTAACACTACGAATTTAGCGTTTCTTCATTACAGGCACCTTTAATGGAGGATTTTTAGTCCACGTTGTTAATCTGAAAATACTAGCCTCATATCAGTACCAACTGAGCATCCCTAATCTGAAAATTCAGAATGCTCCCAAACCTTTAACTTTTTTGAGGTCTGACATGACAGTACGGGTGGAAAATCCTACACCTGACCTCATGTGACTAGTCCCTGTCAAAACACTGTATAAGGGCCAGCAGGTGGCCTGGTGGCTAAGGTGCTGGATCCCATTTGTCTGCCTTTGTGGTTGGATTCCAGGCCCTTTTGGACAGGTGGCTTGAAAAACGTGTGAGCCCATGTGCTAATGTGCCCAAACTCCTGAGAGGAGAATGCAGAAGGGATTGCTGTGTGGCCATCCCTCTGGGAGGTAACTACTTACCTTCTCTTACTTCTCTTTCTCTATCTGGTGAGTGCATGGGCTCTATAGCAAAAAAATGAAAAACAACCAAAAAACCAAAACCAAAACTCAGGACCAAACCCAAAACACTAATAGGATCAGCCAGTGGCATGGTGGTTAAGGTGGCGTGATCCTACATGGCCACTGGCACGGTTTGAGTCCTGGGCTTAGTAGCTTGAAAAACATGTTGGCATGTGTGTGTGCATGACCAAAATTCTGAGAGGATGGAGGAGAATGGATTGTGACATACATGACCATCCCACCTGTGGTGTGGGTGGGGGGACTTCTCACCCTCCTCTCTGTCTCTAATGAGTGTACATTCCCTATAGCAAAATAAAAAAAAAAGCACCAAACTGTATAATAACATTATTGTATAAAATTACCTTCAGGCTTATGTGTATAAGGTATATATGAAACACAAGGGGATTTTGTGTTTAGACTTGGGTCTCATTCCCAAGATAGCTTATGATACATTTGCAGATACTCATCAAATCTAAAAAAGTCTGAAATCCCAAATGCTTCTGGTCTCAAGTGTTTCAGAGGAGGGGTATTTGACTTACATTTGGTCCATTTTGAAGTCATAGTTTGTTGAGTATATTTTACCTGTCTGAAGAACTTTTAAAAAAATATTTAGGTCTTATTAATTATTGGTAGTTATAATAAAGTTTTAAAATTTAGTTGCCAACTGTTTGGGCTGCTATTCCTCTGCTACTAAATGATTTTAGATATTCCAGAACTTATCTAAGTACATTTAGATGTTCATTAAATGTCTTCTTGCCTGAATTTCTTGGATGAAGTAGGAAGAGGGCTATATCATAATTCTGAAAACGGCGATTGAGTTTTTTTTTTTAACCCCCCAAATTTGCTCTAAATTCAGATAAAAATATCTGAAACCTTTTCTAGGTGTCTTAGTTTTCATTTAATTTCTCATTTCAACCTGTATTCATGAGTTAAGTACTTTTTTTTTTGGAGAAGAGAAATGTATTTTTCAGAAAATGTTGAAGCAGTATCAGGAGATTATCTGGTCTACTGCTTCTTTGGCAGAAAAAAGTATATAATGCTTAAATATAAGGTAGAGTGAGTGCTATTAATATATTTATGCTTTTTCCTGCTGTAAGGGCAGGAACTTTGTTAGGTGGTCTTTTTAAACATTTCCTGTTTCTTTTCGTCATAAATGTATAAGATAGAACTATTTTGTCCCAGTATTCCTTTTTGTAGGCTAAGTTTTTGTTCTAACACTGATAGTAGAAGGAGCACTTAGCTTAATTTTTTTTTGGGTTGTCTTGGTTTTTAAAGAATTAAATGACGCTCTTGCTGAACATCCGTTTTTTATGTGTGAGGGCAGGTTTGAGATGTGAGCATAATCAAGTAGGCTTGTGCTGTGTTTCCTTTTTCCTGGAAAATGGGAACAAGTAAGGTGGAAAGCTAATTTTGCATTTAAGAAGTATTCACAAATGCTTCTTAAGTTCTTGGACAATCTTAAGACAGTTAATTGAGTTTCTCACCAATCTTTGACAGAAAGCAGATTTTCTGTCCTTGTTCTCCAGGGCCTAAGACAGCATCTTCATTATAGAACTGAATGGTTTTAAAAGTGGAAAAAATTATAAACTCAAATGTTCAGAGTTTTTTTTTTTTTAATATATATTGCCAGAGGGTTTGCATGCTTGCGAGAGAGAGAGAGAGAGAGAGAGAGAGAGAGAGAGAATTTGTGTGCTTGTCAGAGAGATTGAGGAAAGAGACAGAGAAAGCAAGCATCCCTAATAGGATGTGGTCATGCTGCAATACTTTTTTCTCTATTTTTCCTTCTTGTCAAGATTTTGGGCATGCATGCGCATAAGCCTGCAGTGTTTTTTAAGCTGCTAGGGTAGGGCTTTGAGTCACAGTTGGCTGTATGGGATCCAGTTCCCAGTGCATAGTACTTAAACATCGTACTACAGGGCCTTCCCTATATAGAGCTTATTAAGGAGCTAAAAAAATAATTTGATTTTGGACTGAGGCAGAATATTTTTTTTTAAATGCCAGAGGATATGTGTGCTCATTAGAGAGAGAGGGGGAAAGGAAGAAGACCCCCCCCAGTAGGGTGTGGTCATGCCACAGTCTTTTCCTTTTCTCAATTCTGGCTGGATTTTGGGCAGTCACGTTCATGGGCCTGGTGTGTTTTTCACTATTTATGGCTGGGATTTGTATTGCGATTGGCAATGTTGGATCTGACTCCTTTAACTGCTAGGCTATGGGGTTGGCACAGAAAATTTGAATGTTTTTAAAGTCTTATTAAAATGGGCAACTGTATGAAGTAGTTCTGTTTGTCTTCCCCTCTTTGCCCCCTCAACAACACAAATTTAAGTTAGGGTATGAAACTGTTTAACACGTTTAGTAAGACAAATGCGACTTTTGGAAACAGAGTTGGTTCTTTAAGGATTCTTAATAGACTTTTATCAGTGGGTTACTTAGGAAGAATAGCAAAGATAAATCTACTTACTGGGGGAAAATGCTTAGTGACTGTGCTTTTGTCTTCCTCTCACTGAAAATGCTTAGAGATCATTCTTAGTTTC